AATCTAGCTTAAATTACTGAATTAAAGGTCAACTAAATTACTGTAAGTAAATGAAATAGACTGTTGTAATTGTAAAACAGTTGATAAGACCTACATGACGAACAGGCTTGTGTAGGGTTTCTTATGCTTAGTCCCCAGTATTTTCTCCCACGCCAGCGGTACACAATTGAGCATGCACAGTAAGCGAAATTCGTTAACATTGATCAACTCAATGTGCGGTTTGCCATTAAGCGATCGGGAATTGGCGCCACACATACCAACAGCCTGGCTCATTGCTCGTTACTCGAGTCAATGGTGGTATTTAGAGACAAATGTTTCGCTCATACTTTCCTCGTATCTCGAATCTCTCGTATATAGAGGTGCTCGGATCTCGAGGTGTCACTGCATTAGGTCTTGAAGTAATCTATCTCCCTTAGCACATAATGCTTTCAAAAATTATGCAAATTTCAAAATGGCCAATTGTTTTAATGCACTATCCCAAGTAAGGCTGTTCACAAAATTTCTGAACAACTTTATCCTATTATTGTAGGCACCCTGTAAGATGCAGCGTTGTAAATTTTTGGTGCGTTCTTAAATGTGAAGTCCCTCCCCTAGTATTTATTTTGGTTTAATATACACTTAACGAAAGAATTTGGGGTCCGAAAATCCTCATGTCACAAGAGAGGAGAAGCGGGATAGCTTGAAAGTGAATGTTTATTATGAGATGCTGCGTGAAAAAATTTTAGAGCCACTTTTCTTCCATCAACAAATAACAACAGCCGGAGTTTACTTCGATATATTGATTAATTACATTTGCCCACAGTTGGAGGACTGTCAACCAGAGCACCCAATGGGAAGCGCGCTGAGGTAGTGTACACGCAAAGATTGAACCTTGCTGGCTGCATGGGCGTTTTCGTGATTTTTCCCATGTCTAACGTGTATATGAGCCAGTTTCTTTTAGAAAGTCCTCCACGAAGGCATCCCTCCCTTTTAGGCAGATAGCCCTCGTGTTCTTTGCCATAATTAAATAATCCAATCCTTTTGAGTTAAGCGTGATACATACGTGCTTACGTACAGACGTTACGAAAAAATCTCTTCTGTATCCATTTTAAATCTTTTTTGCAACCCGTTTTGAGAAAAATAGTCCTTTATTCTGTCCTTACATACATATGTAACACAAATACATCGTTAAATTGCATTCGATAGCAGTCAAAATGGGTATTTTCTTTGAAATGTCATACCCGAAATGTTTCGCGATTACAGTACTTCCTTTACTTCGTACAAGTAAATAATAAAACGCTAAAAAATCATTGTCCCTAGTATTATGATTTTACGTACAGTAATATTTACATTAAAATGATAAAGTAATATGTTGAACTTTCTTTGCGTTGATCTACCGTCTTATTTACAGGATGGTAAAAGGAAGGTATACCTAAAAGTTATTCAATGCAGGAATAAATATAATGTTTTACTGACTTGAAAATTATAATTATTAGTTATTAAGGCCAATATTTGCTTAGAAATTTAGCTTTTTCCTGTTCTGTGTAAAATATTGTTGAAAATGCTTTTTTTACTGGGCTAAACAGGCTTATTTCTTCAAAGCACGGTAAAAGTAAAAATAATTGAATATTTCCAGTATTCTTCCACTATGTTGTAGTCTACTTTAAAATAGGCACCTCAAGGTCGTAGCGACCCTTCTCCCATTTGTCATCACTGTACAGAGGGATTAGCAAATACGACATTTTTCCCACAGCAATCGTTTGAATAATTATAAATCATGGTCGGGAAAATAACGTTGAAGTGCCTATTCTAAAGTAACAAACTATAGACTATAGTATACTCTATTTTCAGAAAAATGTCAGCATTGCAGACATGAAGAACTTAATAAATACTAAGGTTATTCATATGTACAGGATGTCAATCAGCTGGGGGCTTTAAATATAATTTTAATTCATTTTCAGACTGATCGAGAAGCCTCGAGAAGGGGAAGATGACGTCAGGGTTTGCGCCGATTAGAAGGTGGTGATTTTCTTTGTTAGCTTTCTGATTCTAGTTTTAGCTAAATGCATTAAAAAGTAAAAAATAATTGTCTTGCTTATATGTGAGGGACTGAAAAAATCGTTTGATACCCACATACGAATTGTATCAGAACATGAACAGAATTTCAAGAAGCAATGGAAATAACAGCCATGAAATGACATACAGAAGAATGATTACTTAAATTTATCTTTGACAGTTTTGATTAAAATCTTCCGTTGCTGTGCGAAAATTAACAACGCAGAATTTAAATCAAAATCATAATTTTATTTTTAGTATCACATGATCCACAATAAATAAAGAATTGTTTTCTTACATTTTAAAGCATTTAACTAAAACCACGTAACTTAAAAGAAATGTATACGTATTTTATTAAAGAGTTGGCATCAAAGACACATAGACTTAAAATGTGCAAATGGCAGATCTAAATTCCTTACATTCGATGACTGGAAGTTTCATCAGGCGATTTACTTATCTATCAAAAGAATGTTACAAATTTTATCCATTTCCAAATAACTAAATGTTTGCTCTCAGATATCGGAATGCACAGTAAATAACATCAAACTACTTGCTTGTGAGTGCTTGTAAGCATTATTAACTTTGCATATCAGTTAAAAAGAAAGGACAAATCGAATCATGATTCAAGTGCAAGAAGATTAGTATTCGCAACAAAGAATTACTCATTCGTAGCTTATACTGAAAAAAATCATTGTCAGTAGCTGTTGAATGACTAATGAGAGTAACTGAATGCTGAGTCACAGCTGTAACTGAATGCTGAAGAAGTAAAAGATAGTAAAACGTAGTGAATAAAATATCTATTGACAAAGGGGAGGTTAAAGTGTTGCTAGCGAAGCTTAAACACTGCATACTAAGGTTATTTCCATTCCTATACTTATTGGCATAATAACACAGTTACGAATCTTTATATATATGTAAATAATTTTAGTGGTGTTATGCTTAATATTGTAGTATTTTATGAGATACTTGAAAGAGACGAAGCTCTGCCGCAAAAATAAGATTAAAGGGGCAAGTCTATTTAACATTGAGATAAATGGGTATCTCGCTAAACTGGCGAGATATCGCCAAGCTGTCAATGGTTTTTGGCGATTAATTTTTGTCGTAAATTTGGCGGAAAATCGAAAAAGTCGCTTAACGGGGCGACAATTTTGCTAAGGTCCCTGCATAACTAACTGTAATTGGTATTGTAACTGAATAACTGTAATTGATTCCTATATGTAACTGCAATTTCATTCGCCCATCATAAGCCTTCCAGTAATTTCGAGAAGGTACTAGAGATTTCTCGACGGCCGAGAAAACTATATAAGACGGGAAAGCATCAGTTTCTGAATTTTATTTCAGAGATGACTTTGGAGTCTTGAGATATCCGCGAGAGTTTCGCCTTTTAGATGCGCTTTGCAACGCATCATGTTTAACGATTTTAGAAGTTTGAAGTGTAATAAATGATCGTGCTCTGTAATACTAAGAAGAGCTGTACAAGTGCTTTTGTGGAAAGTTCTAGAAGTGTAAAGTGTTGGGAAAACGAATTTTATTAAGAGATCATTAGTTCTTTGTGATTCAATCCATTACGAACCCCTACGCACGCAATAATAGCGAGAAAATCTTAAGACATTGTACAATAACTCTCACCTCTTTTATTGTGACTGTGCGAAGGAAGGAGTAGTACACTTCCAAGCTAACTAGAGTGCTTCAATCCCTAGTCGACAGTAATAGAGAATTAATATATAAGTTTACATCCGCAAACTAAATACAGCGAACCCTCTCTATGCCAACCATATATAACTGCAGATGATTTGCGCCTTTTGCAGAGGCGATCATCGTAAAGGGATTACATTCAGGCGCTCACTCATTCACTCACCGAATGTTTGTTTATATTTTCAGAAATACTGGTAACTTTCAGAGGTGGTTGCGACGAGAGGGTTTACTGTGAATAAGAGATACGGTAAACACCGGATAAGTGATCGTTAATGCTTAGCTTGTAAGGAATTATCGTTTTCCCTCCTTGTGTCTTCGTGTCTAGGTGATGAGCATATCCAACTATCAACTTCAAGATTCGTGTTTCGAATCCCGGGAAGGAAGCAGTTGATTTTACAAATTTCTAGCTTCAAAAAAACCTAAAATGTCTAATAATCTTAACCTGATATATACTTATCTAATTTTAACACCGAACAAACTAATTTAAACAAATTGCTTATAGCTTAAATTAAAACGCCTTGTTTAATTTTAATTTGGTTTCTCTGAGAAAAATCTCAAAATGAAAAAGCATAAAATATAAGGAAAAAACAAAAGCAGCAATAGATCAATTTTTATCACATTTAAAATAAGATATATTTTAGCAAATATGAATTCAGAAATTTAGTTTTTAAATTTAAAATAACAATTAAAAATTTATTTTAAAAATTCACTAATTTAAAATTAATTCTTAGTTAAAGAATGCATATTTTTTTTTTTTTTACGAGACTAGCATTTTTTTTTTTTTTTTTTTTTTTGGCGGGGGTATTTAGTAAAATTCTTTTCTGTCAATAGGTGGAGGGCTGTGGCGTTGGATTATACTATCATAATATATATTTTATTGAAAAATATACAATGAAGGAAGACCTGTTCTTTGATTAATCAGTAAATCCTATTAATTGTTAAGAAATTTAGATTGTATGGGTGGCATAAGTTTATTACTGTAATTCGAAAGAGAATCTTAACACTGCACTCATTTTAAAAATAATTAGATAATGTCCGACTCTTTCCTTCTTCCGCATTTCAGGTAAAATGTATTAAATTGTGTTATATTTTTGTATTTGTTATATTGTAACTTATATTAATTAAATAATTTAGTGACACTGGCATCATTAACAGCGGAGAAGAACTAAATACAGAAACATTTATATTTCATTAACCGTTTACACACCATGTTTAGTTGCAGTTGAATTCTATTAATTTTAACGTTAGATATATCCTTATAAAAGTCTTACCAAAATGTTTGAACTGTTACGTTAAGTCACCATGTATATATATCATCTACTCGTCATTTCAGGTGTTGTCATTCAACGAAATACGAAGTCCTTCATTTATCTTGTCAGTGGCATCTGAGTAGTCAGTTCTCAGAGTTCTGAAATTCGGAAAAACACAAGGTGTTTAATATATCTTTTAACCAGTCTGTAATTGCTTAGTAAATTTAGCGATTTAAAAGCAATAAACATATTCAATAAGCGCATTAAAATCCTTATATTGTTTTAATAATAATATATCAAATTAATATAAATCAAAATATAATTGATTTATAATATACAACTGATAATTTTTATGAATATTTGCAGCGTTACTGTAATTCATAAAAAATGTTTCTGACGTCATATGTTTTGCATCTGGTCTAAAATCATTTAGTTGTTTTTAATTTTCAAATTTCTATTTAACTACCAATTAATTAGAAGAAAAATATAACTATTATAAAGGAAAAGATATCTGTATTTTTTTTTTTTTTTTTTTTTTTCATATTTCCATTTAAGGAAATTCTTTTATCTCGAATATATTCGTGATGAAATCAACTACTAGTTACTGCACATTAATGAAATTAATCTAATTTTTAGTGATTAATTAAATAATTATTTTCATTTTTAATTGAATTACTTTTAAAAGAAATCAAAATCTATTTATGGTAGATGAACAAAAACATACAGATAGGTATGGTGATACTAATTACGTTATTACTATATCTATGAGCATATATTTGAGAACATCAATTTACAATAAAAATTAAATAACAGTACTTTAGTTTCAACAGAAAATATCATTGAAAGAAACGGTGCAACTGAAATGAAAACTAAAATGGGTTTCAACGTTGAAAATGAATAAATTATTGCATAAAATCCGAAAAAGTAATTATTTAATAAACGCTGCCGACTTAGAGCAATAGCGGTAAAAAGTTAAACATTTTTTGCAAAATTTTGCTACTCTTTATTTCAGTTGCTATTTTTTAATTCTCTGGCTACGAATCAAAAAAGAAATTTGTTTACTAGCAGTCATATTGCATGAATGGAAAGGATCTTGCAAAGAAAAAATATGAAGCAACAGCCAGTTTCTTTTGAGTGACTAAATGACAAGCCTTACATTCACCTCGAAGCGGAAGAATTAATTAACTTCTCGTTAAGTACAAACAAAAAGGATATCTGCAGCAGCTGAAAACAATGTTTCACATTTTCTTGCAGTCTTGCGATCACATGTTCATTTGAGTACGAAATACTGAATAAAAAATCTGATGTGGACACCACATAACTTCCTTGTACGGCCTATTAAATTATACACATTATTATTATTAAACTTATTCACTCGAATTTCATTATCGATATATTTCTCATTCAATTAATTCAGTTTTCACTTCGAGACGAGGCAAAAATACATAAAACTGAAAATATCTTCATTATAAATTGTAAAATACAGAAAAATATAAAACACCAAATACAGTTAAAACAGTCAAAGAACAATTTTTACAATTAAATTCTACGCAAAAACAAGCAATTCGGCCAGCGGACAAGAAGGAAATTTTCTTCGGTGCACAAAACGGAAAGTGAACTTTTGGTCCCACTCGGTAAAAAGACACTGAAGGTGCAGAAACTGACTTAGTTCACTATTCTGTTAAGGGTTTTCAAATATGGAGGGTTCGATAGGCGTAGTGGCATTTAAACAACTTTTAAATTGTTGATAATTGTACAATTACTGCATGCAGATTAACTAAAGGCATAAAAACCTTAACCGGAAGATAAGAACAGTATAATTCAATCACTTTTAAAGCAAAAAAGGCACAATTTACCGAGTATAAGATTAAAAAAACTGAGCTTACCGAGTCGGATAAGAGAGTGGGTATATACATATATATATAACAAATATTCTCTACTCGTAGTTTTCAGTAGGCAAGAATTTCATAATTACTTTCGTGTTCTAAAAAATTTGGTTTTCTATTGTTAATTGACTTTTAATTAACGTCACGTGCTTTACTTTAATCAGTTAACCAACTAACAAGATTATCTGAACACTCCATTTAGCAGCTATGCTACGAAAATTTTCATACCAGATATTATTATAACAAATTTCAAAACTACATATTACTGCATCATTTAACAGCCATCACAACACATGAAGGGAACTTTCTTTAAACTGATCATGCATTGTTCCACATAATTCGTTTTAGAGAGGTGTTGTTGTTAATGCTTACCTGTTTGACCTATAGTCAGCCCAAGCCCTCGAAATTTCTCGTGACAAGGAGAGCAAATTTACGACTGTCGTTGGAAACAGCCTTGAGTACCTTATAGGTGATAGTGCGATTTAGATCAGTTCCGACCCCTATTTCGATGGAGAGCACCCCGGGGGGATGGGTCCGAGGGTCTCCCACCCAACTTCCCCTACCAGCAACCTCTCGAGAGGATTTTCGGCTCGTCGCATATTTAGAGTGGTCCCATGCCGCGGGAACACCATGCATTTACAAACATTCGGGTTTCGAATCCACGGCCTTCGGCACGGCAGTCACCTCCCTAACTACTATACCGGTTGGGCGGGTTTAGTATTGATGTTTATTTGTGTTCCCATAATTACTGATCACTTTCAAAGGTAGTCATTTTCGGGGATGATGTCGACATGAGAGGATTTACTGTATATAAATACACACGTATGTATACTTTATTATTATTAAGTTCTGCAGTTTTTCACATAGTCTTGTGCATCATAATTTGCCATTTTTTTTTTTTTTTTTTTTTTTCCCAGTGAAATTAGGCTATTGTTATAGGCGTGTAAAAATAAAATTATGTTTTAATTTCAAAGCGCAATAATTATGCCTTCTGTTGCGCCGAGTTTGTAACAAAATTTTGTTTCTTGCTTATCCACTCTGTCTTAATAACCCGATACTCAAATTCTCTGTACTATTCAATATTCCCACTGATTCAGTTATTAGTCTGGACCAAAGAACATTTATATTCAACAATATATCGTTACACCAAATACTTGTGGCGCCATCTATTTTTCTTCACGATAATCATAGCATTAGTTCATTTTAAATTAATAATTAAATTTCTTGGCTACTCCGTGAACCCAGCGCCGGGATATTTTGAGCCAAATTTCTGCAAACTAGATCTGAAAGAAGGATTATATTTTTCTTTCCCTTTCACTCTAACTAGCATTTTACTTCTTCTTTTTATCATAGATGATATCAATGTGAAATTTTAAAATTACCATATGTTCGGTGTATTTGAAAACTGCAATTTTAGAAGAAACCACTTAGACCCTAGGGCGAACACTTTTTGTGGGTCCATCGATTTCCAGCACTGGAATTTAAAAGCGAAAAACAAAAAAATTCAAGAGGTGCGCGTACGTTAATATTTTGAATATTGATGGAATCGGGCAGAACATGAGAATTTTTTAACTAACTGTAGAACGGTGTTCTCTAGGTCGACATAATCTCGATTATTAAATTACTGAAGCATCTATAGGTATATATGCATTTTTCTGTCACTGAGGAAACACGACGACACCTAGAGCAACCGAATTTTCAACACACAAGTATTTTACTCAAATATGTGCACCTCAAAGCCCGAAATCTAAATTTTGAATTTTTTATTATTTATTTATATTTCATTTGAATTTAATGATACTTTCATTAATAAACTCGACAATTTAAAAGCAATGTGTTGCCATTCGGCGAAGAGTAACATATTTAGGTTTCAAAGTGAATCAGAAAACTCAAGAGATTGAAAAGAAGTTTTTTACCACTCGACAGAGTGTAACATATCTATGTTCCTAATTTAATCAGGAAACTCGGCGATTTCAGAGTAATGTGTTGCCACTACTCGAAATAAAATATTTTAAGCTTCCCCCGACGGTGTGTTATCATTTAACAAAGCGTTTGTTTCAAATTTAATTTGTCTGTTTTGATTAACAAAGATTTAGAAGCAATAAACGCAGTTTTCCGTCTCTTTTATTATTAACAATTAGATGGACATGAGAAATGATAGTAGCTGAACTTATTAAAATCATATTCTACTTTTTTTATAATAATGATTTTAGGCAGCTAGTTTAAGAAAAAATAAAATTTAAAGGTATGGAGAATCGGTCTGGCATGAGATGGTCAAAATCCGGAGTTGCTTTTTAGGGATTAATTGTTTATGAGATTTTTCCTTAGCCAGAACAAGTACTGGCGGGCAAAGGATAAAAATAACTTGAAAGCGGCGCTTTTCACCGACCTAGGTTTTGAGCACCAGCCTATTTCAAGAATTAAAATTTTGTAGCCAAATCTCCCCCCGGGGTTGACTCAGGCGAATGCCTGGGAAGTACTGGTTAGGATCTGTACCTAGGCAGTCTCAACCACGGGGGTATAAAAACAGACTTCACAGAAGGCCTGAAGGCGAAAATTGATTCTGTTTACACCACCCTCATCACGTTATCATGGACTCAGAACTTCAACTTACTGGACTGCTAGACTGTATTATGTGATGAAATTTGGTTTATTCCATATGTTGTTACTCTGATGATTACTAGAAAAATTTCCCTTTTATGTAATTATTTCTGCACATTTGTACATTTAAGGTTTTCTTCAGCATTTCTAACCTGAAATCTCGCAACCTATTAACGACTTCTTCACACCTAACGTGACAAGGTAGTCACGCCCTCTCAACATCTGCAATTCTGACTTAGGTCTCACTTATGCATTCTCCTACTTTCAGCGCTCTATAGCAACTAACTCGGATCAAGCGTCAGTACGTCAGTACATTGCATTTAGGTTCCCGCGCGTGGTGACAGCCGGAACAAAACTTGCAAATCCTGCAAGTTAATCAGCGGCGCATCCAGCGGAACTTGGAACTTGGAGGCCTGAAGGCTCTCGGGATAGAGTGAAAGGCTCGGCAGGGAGTATTGCCTTGTCTGCCCTTGCTCTGTGGGGTCGCAATTGGTAGATTGAATTTTGTGTGGGGCGGTGCAAATATGAATGGCAAAGTAGCCGGGACAGAGCTGCCTCGCACTTTGAGTTTGAGTTGAGTAGCCAAAGGCTACACAACTGTTTTAACGCGAAGTTGGCTCAAACTTCTCCCCGGGCTAACAATTTGACTGTCGGAAACTATTATCCAATCG